TGTATTTAATTTTGATTTGTGTGGCTTTATGATCTTTAGATTGTTTTAATTTTTAGTAGTTCATAATAAATTTTTTATCTGAATTAAATTTTATCTTTTTCTTAATGTTTTAACTAAAGGTAATGAATAGACTGGTACTTTATATCTTTCACAATTTTTATTTTTTAACATTTGTTGGTTTCTTTTATTCTATATTGCATATTAGATTTGTATTAGAAACCTTACATAGGAGTACTCCAATCAGCGGCCATTCAAATTTGGACTATTTGGATAGTGGTGCATATGATTTGTTTTATATTATCACCATTTCAAGTGGATGTTTACCTCATTACATGTTCATGAGGGACTTTCTCAAGAAAGAACTAAAAATAGCGTAATTATGATACCATTATGTCAACTTTAGCTCTGATTGAACAATTTTTGTTAATGATTGTTCTTTAAAGAAAAAAAAAAACCATTTCAAATTTGCAGCCACTTGCATTGCTTTGCAACCTTCATCGCCTTCATGATGCAGAAACTTATTTGTCTATGCAGAAACATGTTAGATTTTTCTCTTAAATTAAAAATTCAGATTTCATTTAACACTATATCACTTGCCACTGATCGTATAACAAGTTCTGGAGCATTGATTTAATTATTGGAAATATTCTTTGCATATTTTGAATCTTGATTTATTCAGCAAATTTCATATTTTGTCTCAAGAAACTTGAAACAGCAACAAATAATTGGCTTCATGGAAAGAGTCCGTGTTGTATAAGACCCATGGACTCTTTATATTTTGCTACATGAATGATAAGGTGGAAATCATTAGCTCTAGCTGTTGTATAAGAATGCAAATCATATTAATTGAGTGGTAATGCAAATCTAAACTGTCATATAAATCATATTAATTGAGAGGTATGAACAGTAATCTTCCAAAAGAAAGCCACAATATGCTTATTTATTTACATATCTAACATCTAAACTGTCATATAAATTGCCCCAGTTGAGTCAGCATAACACTAATATCATCCATTGATCCTAAACTTGCAGCTGCAGTTCACAAGCTTCTTGCAAGCAGAGAGTGGATATGTTCATGAGCTTCCTAATTCCTAACCTGATAGATTAATCAAAGTGTAGTTAGTAAATCTCATTTCTATCAATCAATGAAAAAAAAAATATTTTGACTAATTGTAATCGCATGCAACATCCGCAATCATTTTTTTGTGCATCTATTTAGGGTCTGTTTGGGGCAGCTTGTATGTTTCAGGATAAACTGTTTATCCTGAAACACAACCCTCGGGAGTCGACTTGTGGCATACGTTTAGTGTAAAAATGGAACCACGTTTTCGGATAAGCAGACAAAACACGCGATTCAAACGGTATTACGGCGTTTTCAAAAACACTCCCGCACTTATAAGTTGCCCCAAACGGGCCCTTAATTTCTGATGTATGGGTTTGTTAGTTTCTCTGTTTTATCGTCTTTGTGTGGTTGCTCCTGTGTTAAATTTTACAGTTCCGTTTGGGGCCAATGGAAAATTGAAATTTAGAATAAGTAATTCTTAGTTACTGAAAGATATCAGAAAAAAATTTATCTTGGAAGGAAATTGCTGCTTTAGATACATACCACTCAATTTACATTTCATGCATCATGAACCTAAACTTCAATATTCATGTTAAATATAATGTAAAAAAACTGAAAACAAAAGCAAAACAACTTGAAAGTTGAATGCGGACACTAACATGAGTTCTATTTTTTCCTTTTCAGAATAACTATATGTTTACATTTATAATTTGGTTTTGATGTTGTTTTTTCTGTTATGAAAGTTGCTTTCCCTTTATTTACTGTTTCCTGCAGTCATATAGCATGGAATTGAAATTCCTATATGTAAATCTTCTTTGATTTCAATGTGTGAATCGTCACTGTTGGCTTACATATTTGTTTTGTTGTTCCGCAAAAAACTTGCTTTGAAACACATGGCAATTGATGATCATAATAAAGCTTTATGCTCATTCACCTCATTGTTGTTATCATATTGAAATTTTTTTTCTCTTCAGTCGCAGTCGGGAAAACATGAGTTCAAGGATTTCCGAGACATCCTGACAATTGCTCTGTCATTGTGGCCTCCAAACTTCTCTACTGACGTCACGGGGACCACACATCTATGGGAGAAAGTTCTATAGCTGCCCACGAAGTATCACAAAACAGTGTCCCTTCTTCCGTTGGGCAAACAGTTCAGCGGATTCCCCTGACGACAACGATCGGGAGTAGAGAACATCGCTCGAGGAAAGTCTAGCACGGGAGCTACACTGCCAGAATGTTAAAAAAAATATAATCATCTTATTAATTGTCATTATAATTATTTTTGATTTTTTTTACTCTCTTGATAGTCACTGTTATATAAGCTAAATATATGTTCATCTGGACTGTCTTTATTTGAACTTTTTCCTTAAAAGTATCAAATTTATGATTTCTGAGATTGAATAAAATTTGTAGAAGTCAATTTTTTACAATTTTAGCTTGTAAAGTGAATTTCTGCTTCTAATGTATCATATATAAGAATGTTATTGTTCGGTTCCAAATAATTTAACTAAACAAAGGCAAAATGATCATTTTTCCAGAAACAGCTGTCTCACAGCTATTTTCACACAGCTCCAATAAACTTTCTCGGGCAACGCAATTACGTCAAATAGAGCCTGAATCTCTTAAATCATGGATAAAATAGTATATTTAATGATTTTATTTATTTTAAATGTTACAATATTTAAGAAATAAGATAAAGGAAAAATTGATTTAAATATAAAAATTTAATAGCTTCTAAAATTATTAATTAATTAATTATATATATATATA